GGTACACATAGTGCGCATTAGTGCCTTGCGCTGAACAGAGTTTCACCAAAATCGCAAAGACCCAATTCGAGAAATTCAACGGTTTCCAAATTTAGGTCATAATTTATGCAAAAATGATAAGCAAACTTTACACGGATTATATCTAATAAACTATGAGATTCATCTCTTTATTTTGGGTATCCTTATAACAGATGGGTCCTTGCAAGTCAGCAAAACAATTTAGGGCCTTGTAAATGCGCGCGATTTCGAGCAAAGCAAACACAGAAATTATACTTTTCGCTATTTGTTGACGTTTGTCAGCGTTTAAGAGTCAATCTCACGAAAAAAGCATTTTCTTAAAAATTCGTAGTTTTTTTTCCTTCAAATTTTTCCAGGGCCACAATTGATTAACTAACTACCCGGACTCTGAATTTCATGGTCATTGAAAAACTGTGACACTACCTTCTATAAGCCCAAACTTGAGTAAACATTGAAGATTTCTAGCGTTTTGGCTGAGTCTGTGCTTTGGGAGTTGTCTATTGTTTCTAGTCTGTCATTATACAGCATTCTTGTTCAGCACGCGTGCAATGACCACGCTTGGCTGACTTCCGAATTCTCACCGAGATACTCCCGTCACGAGTTGGTTTAATTATTGGCTTGCATTAAACCTATGAAAAAATGATATTTTTTTAATAGTAAGTAGATTTAGTGTGTAGCACTTCTTGAGTTTTTTGCAAAGGCACAAGAAGCACGAGAATTGATTAAAAATTGTGAGTTAAACCTCATGTATCACGCGATGGCCTGTCTCACTGTACCAAAATTATCATATCTCGGTGAGCATTCGGAAGTCAGCCAAGCGCGGTCATTGCACGCGTGCTGAACAAGAATGCTGTATCATGACAGACTAGAAACAATAGACAACTCCCAAAGCACAAACTCAGCCAAAACGCTAAAAATCTTCAATGTTTACTCAAGTTTGGGCTTATAGAAGGTAATGTCACAGTTTTTCAATGACCATGAAATTCAGAGTCCGGGTAGTTAGTTAATCAATTGTGGCCCTGGAAAAATTTGAAGGAAAAAAAACTACGAATTTTTAAGAAAATGCTTTTTTCGTGAGAAGGACTCTTAAACGCTGACAAACGTCAACAAATAGCGAAAACTATAATTTCTATATGTTTGCTTTGCTCGAAATCGCGCGCATTTACAAGGCCCTAAAGCGTTTTGCTAACTTGCAAGGACCCATCTGTTATAAGGATGCCTAAAATAAAGAGATGAATCTCATAGTTTATAAGATATAATCCGTGTAAAGTTTGCTTACCATTTTGGCATAAATTATGACCTAAATTTGGAAACCGTTGAATTTCTCGAATTGGGTCTTTGCGATTTTGGTGAAACTCTGTTCAGCGCAAGGCACTAATGCGCACTATGTGTAGCCGACAGATGTTCACGAAAAAATACCGGTAACAGCAGATTTTCGACTCAGACCTCAAAGGGGCGTGGCATTATAACCACGTGACATTTACTCCGATCGCCAAAAGTTTTATGTTATGTAAAGGGGGGAATTTCATATATCCCATGATGCTTCGCGCCAAATTTCTGTCTTCTCTCCGCGGTGGAAAGAGAGTTCGAGGGTTTCGAGGGAGATTTTCAACGACCTGAATTTCAAGATGCAGCTCATCCAAGGTAAGTTTCAATGAGCCCTGTTAATCTTTGGTATCTTATTAATAATGTAAAATGGTTCCATGGTCATTTCACGCATTATTGCTCTCGTGTACGACCCTGTTAAGCCATGCTGTTTTAACTCGCTAGTGAATATTTTTTTAGATGACTTTCAATTTTCGAAAACTGTCTTTATTCTAGCAAGGTTTAGCCCTAATAAATTATTTAAATCGGCGGACAAGGAGTGCTTGATACTAGTTCCACGCTCCGACCTCTTTCGACCTCGCGATTTTTATGGGTTTGATCGTTTTGAAATATCGCATTTTCTGCCCTTTCTCCGCTAAGATGCAAGACGAAGGTTTCAATTTCTTTATGCTAAGTCCTGCGAAGATGGGACATTTTTTCTTGAATTCGCTCTTTTTTCGCCGATCAAAACACAAATATTATCTCTTGAGGGTATGATGAATGTTTAAATTCAATGGTTTATAGTTATTAAAGCTTTTTTGTCTCATTATTTTAGGTAAAATTGGTTTCTCATGGTGGCTTCCGGTCGCAACCGCGCGTGGCGAACTTGAAATATACAGGCCAGCAAATGTCATGGAATAGCATGCCGTAGGACCTCAACCGGCGTATAAAACCTTTTAAGACATTTTGATAATTCTTTTAGGATCCATTGTAGTGAAGAAGTGGGTGTTTTTGTATATGTATTTTGCCATTTCTTAATAAAGCTTTTTTCTGTTTATGTTTGGCAATGATGCTTAGCTGGTGTTGTGTTACGAAAAATGTAGATATGTCTTTGCTATTTTTATTGTTTGTTAGAGCTATTTCCCTCCTTTGAATTTTATCTCCTATAGACGTCTCTTTGCACTTTAACGGTCTCGGTATTTTCGACTACATAAGCCGAGCTTGTTGAAGTAAACGCATGTGCGGTCACCGTACGGTTGACGTACTCTGATGTGCTGCATCGATGAATTATTGAACTGACAATATGAACACCGCGATCACCAACAAGAAACGAAGAGAACTCTCACAGCTAGAATATGTATTTACTTCAAGACAAGTACGTGGAAATCGCTTGTTAATCCATGGAGAGCTTTATCAACGCACGTAAAACAGGACGTACCGAAGCAAAGACTTTCCTCGCTAGCTTCTAAGAACATTTGTGTGGACTCCGTTGCTATCGTAAGGCTAGTTAACTCATAATCGGCGGCCGAAACACTCTCTTTACCTTAACAAGAGATATATTTGGAATAGTAAAACGAAAATCGTAAATATATCGACACAGCAAAGGTACAGAAAGTTTTATGGGCAAAACAAGTTGCTTTCCACTGCTGTTCAACTGTCACGTCCCTGTTGAACTGATAGCATCACGTGCGTTCGGAAGCTTGATAATATAGTATGAAGCGATGCATCATGGGATATATGAAATTCCCCCCTTTATGTTATATTGTACATTGATCTATATGTTATCCATTCTATGTGTTAGACTTACGATAAAAGTAAAGGTGGGGATACCAGGGAGCTTCAAAGTAGGATGGTACCCCCCCAAAAAAAACTGGGTGGAGTCACCTTAAATGGCCTATTATTTGAATGATATTGTGATTTTAAATTCTATTTGTAGTCGCAGAAGGCCATGTATCGATATCCGCAACCCTTAAATGGAGTTTTCAGAGGAAGTTTGCAGTTTTGATGAATAAGTTTTAGTTATGGCTGAGATGAATGACAGTTGGAAAGACCAAGGTATTTTTTTGTTCATCAGTAATACCAATTCCTTATTCATCTTTATATACCGCTTCCTAAGAAATTTTCTATTTGATTGGCTGAGAGAAGTTGTATTTCAGCTTAATTTGAAATACCTTCAAGTAATAAAAATGAAAATAACTAAGAGTCGTGAGTCGTTAGGTTCGATATGAAATGTTTTCCCTAACCTCTTTCAGTAATAAGCTTGTCAGTAAGCAACTCTTAGCAATTATTGAATGAGGCTGAGTAACATTTCTCAAACTCATTAATAATTCATAAAGAAAATTCAAAGGAAATTAATGTTTAATGAGTGTTTGGATATCGGATGAAAAACTGCTCATTTTTCCATCCTTAACTTCTCCTTCAAAAATGATTTTGTTTGAGAAGAAATATCAAACATTCGACACAGTGTTTCATCGCCAGATGAAACACCTCGAAGTTCGTCAAAAATACTCCGCTACGTGTCGTATTTTCAACTCTCTTCTCGGTGTTTCTTCTGGTGATGAAACACCGCGTCTCATGTTTGATATATTACTTGAAGAATTATGCAGATCGAGGAGGACTGAAGGCCGAGATGGATAACATCCTCCGAGATCTGCATAATTCTTCCTTTAAATAACCAAACTTATAACTACCAGGTCTATGGAGCAATCCTCGCTTCTTTTATCGTTTACATAATATTTTTCCAAAGCCTTGATTTGGAGATCATCTATAACGATTCACCTGCAAATAAGCTTATATGGCAAAATAATGGAAATGGCCTACTCATACACAGCAGTGAAAAATAAAGTAATGTTGTTTGGTTAATATATTGACAGTTGACGTCATCGGATTACTTGGGAAAATTTATCGGAAAGCGCATAGTATCGTGAATAGACCAGCCCTTATATCAAGTGCCCTTTCACCATATTTGCCTTCCCTCTCTACCCAGTGCTCAGACGTTGTTTTCTTTTTCTTTTCGAAAATCAACGAGCACGCGACAGCGAGCCACGTGGCGGGCGTGAAAGAAAACGAAACGTCTTTTTTACCTTTTCCCCACGTCACCCTTTTGCGCTAGTCCCCGGCGGTTTTTATTTTCATACGTGCGCTCGACGATCTCTAAAGGGAGGATAGAGTGTCTGTGAACAGACTATTCCTTCCCCATCCCCGTTTACACCTTTCGGAAGTTTGAAAGTATCTGACAAATACTGTTCTTAAAATGCTTGTCCATGTTTATGTCTGCTTCTTTTCTCCTGCTGAAATTGACTGTTTTGATATTGAGAGTTTTTAAACTTCTACCTTTTTTTGTAGTAGTTAACGTTAATTTCCAAGTTGATTGCCAGACCATTGAAAAACAAGGAACTTCATCGCCTCAAAATGCTTTTAGAGAGGACAATGTCAAGAATAAAAGTAGTCTCTCTTTGACTCAAGTGATTGTGAATCTTATTGCGTGCAAGGGTTTTCGGGAGATTGGTAAATCAAACCCTGGGAACGTGAATGGTTTTCTCCAGTATTTGGGAAAGGCGCGCAAAGTCCTCGCCGTTGATATCAAGATTGGAAGTTTCACAATCAAGGTGGAGTGCCAATCGCTGAAAAGTCTAGATGAGCTGTGGAACAACTTTAATACAGGCCAACTAAATAGTATGGCTCAGAGTTACCTCGTGACTGGGGACATGCTGAAACAGTTTGGTCTTCAATCATTAAAACTTGCGTCGAATATCGACGAATTTGAGTACAGGGCTTATCGACAGCATTTCTTATCAATTAACGGTGGGTATTACTTTTTACGAAATGGTACTCGTGCAACGCGCGACCATCCAGTAATGGATGCACGCGGAAGGTTGTAAAGAACGGTTAAAGCGAAAGAGTATCAAGCTTTTTTGTACATTTCTTGTACATTTCTTGGCCGTCACTACACGACATACGACGTGAAAATACCTATTTTCACCTTTTGGGGAGAACTGAAACAAGCTATGGCGAAATATTCTTTCTTTCTCTGAACTTGTATGTTATTGTTCTTAATATAAGAATTCAACTCCAGTAGAGTTCGCCTCCATTTGACGTATGAAGTAATTGAATTGGATCAACCGCGATAAAGATTGGAAAACATGAATTCACTTTAAGAGACATTTTGGTCGCCGTCGGTATCCTCGGAGCTTAGGCCCCGTCCACACGAATCCAGGTGTTTTAAAATCCGCATATTTTAAACCCGAATTCGTGTGAACAGAGTCGTAAACCACTAATGAGCGGTTTGAAAAAGTTGTGGTTTCGGTGAGCGCATCAGTGTCTGATTTCGTGCAGACGGAAGTTCGATTTTTGTTAAAGATATATGCGCATTCAAAGATATTTAGTTTCGTGTGGATGGGGCCTTAATCTCTCACTTATTTTTTTTTCGCGATCGACGTGAGGATTACGTGACAGGACCGTCGCAGTCGTCGAATTTCAGCTCTTATTTGCGTTTTCCCGGGCAGGGCTCTATACTAGTTATACCTTTTTTTAGGGTGGATTTCCATCGTCGCGTAATTTTTGCGCCCGTGCGTGTACATGCACGTAAATTTTACTCGAGTAAATAAAACAGAGACAAGTTTTGAAGTGTTGTACTTAAGGTGGCTCGACTGGATTTTTTGGGGTTGATACCTCCCAACTTTGAGCATTAACTACGTCGGCATGAGTAAAGATATGGAAAAAAGGTTAACACAACTGTATTATATAAAGATGAAAATTTCTTATGATCTGGGTTTTATTGCAATCGGAGTCGCCATGGCAACGTAATGACGCCATAACGTTTTTCATTTATTTTTGTGTTTCTCTGTTCCAGGAGTTTTTTGAAGAAATCGCTTAAGGGAGTGTGTACATGCTATAATTGCCTCCATTATGGCATAGTTTGAACTAATTCTATGAGAGCGTTTTCGAAATATCTTGAAATGTAGTTTTAAGAATAATAAAAACAGTGAAATAGCATGCTAGCCACACAATTCGCTAATATTTTAAGAAAATGATAAGCTTTGGGAACGAGGCTTCATCTCATAGTGATTTAATTCCATTGAAAACTGCATACAAAAATAGAGGGGAATTGCTCTGGGCGATCGCGAGTAAGAAGAATTTTATTAACTTGCATTCAGCTGCTTTTGATACAGTTTTTGGACGTAATTTGGTCCATGCCTAAAAATTTCGCATTTTTCCAAAAACCGCTTGATAAATTTTTTTATAATTTCGACAATCCCGAGATCAATCGTCAAGAAATATTCTCTGCAAGTTTCAAGAACATTGAAAACAGGGAAGGCTTTTAAATAGGGCCTCAAATATAGCCATTTCCCCCCCCAGATTTTGTGTTTACAAGTGAGCGTCCTCATTATCCACTGGCATTGTTTTCAAGTTTCATATACACGTGCACATTTAGCAAAAAGATAGAATTTGCATCAAAAAGGACCCTCGGTTAAATCTCCGGGATATGCTAATTACCGGGTAAAGAGATTAATGATACATTATAACATCAGAGCAACTCTTTGTGAGAGTTTCTGTGATGTTATAACCCGAGTAAGATAGACTTTCATTGTTTCGGCTCTCATTGCTATCTGTGACGACAAGCCAATTATTAGCATATTCCGGATATTTCTTCGGAAAGTAATCGAGAGTTCTTTTTTATGCAAATTTATATCTTTTGCTAGTTGTGCACGTGCATATGAAACTTGAAAACAATGCCAGTGAATAATCAGGACGCTCACTTGTAAACACAAAATCTGGGGGAGAAAATTGGTTATATTTGAGGCCCTATTTAAAAGCCTTCCCTGTTTTCAATGTTCTTGAAACTTGCAGGCAATATTTCTTGACGATTGATCTCGGGATTGTCGAATTTATAGAGAAATTTATCAAGCGGTTTTTGGAAAAATGCGAAATTTTTAGGCATGGACCAAATTACGTCCAAAAACTGTATCAAAGGCAGCTAAATGCAAGTTAATAAAATTCTTCTTACTCGCGATCACCCAGAGCAATTCCCCTCTTTTTTCGTATGCAGTTTTGAATGGAATCAAACCACTATGAGATGAAGCCTCGCTCCCAAAGCTTACTATTTTCTTAAAATATTAGCGAATTGTGTAGGTAGCATGCTATTTCAATGTTTTTATTATTCTTAAAACTACATTTCAAAATATTTCGAAAACGCTCTCATAGAACTTGTTCAAACTTTGCGATAATGGAGGCAATTATAGCAGGTACATACTCCTTTAAGCGATTTCTTCAAAGAACTCCTGGAACAGAGAAACACAAAGATAAATGAAAAACGTTATGGCGTCATTACGTTGCCATGGCGACTCCGATTGCAATAAAACCCAGATCATAAGAAATTTTCATCTTTATATAATACAGTTGTGTTAACCTTTTTTCCATATCTTTACTCATGCCGACGTAGTTAATGCTCAAAGTTGGGAGGTATCAACCCCAAAAAATCCAGTCGAGCCACCTTAAACGTGAAATTGAACGAGGTAAAACTTTTACTCCAATGACCGACCTACCATACATTGCCTCTCTTTTATTTGTGAACGAAAATTTTACGCACGCTGGCACTTAAAAATTACGCGTTAGTCCTCCCTTAGTAGGGAGAACGGGTTCTGAATTAAAGGCGTTTTGAAAATTCGTAGAAAAACATTTGGCCGGAGGTGACATTTTCCCTTCAACGGTTCATTTACGTTTCAGTTAAATTGAACCAATTCTTTAATTAAATATATAGACGTGAAATGATTCGACCAGAAAGCAACGTTTCTTTTTCCTTTTAAGAGGGTTGCGAGTTTGTAAAATCAGCCCTTTTGCCCTAAATGCCTGGAGACTCGGGAAAGTTTGTTACATGCATTCTTTAGGAATAATTTTTTGTAAAATTGGGTAGCCTGTCATAGAAATGCAAAATGAAGCAAAAAAAAGGCTTTTCGAAAATGACATTGCTTCCGATACATTCCTTTTACTCATATATGGCGTTTGCTTTAAATCTTGTTAGGAGATCCATTGGAAATTTTCGTAGTCGACTTGTCCCTGGAAACCATCATATTAGAAGTCTATCCCACTGATACTATCGCAAATTTGAAGAAGAAAATTAAAGACAGGAAAGGATTTCCAGCTGGCGAACAGCATCATCTTGTTTTTCGTGGAAGAGAACTGGAAGACGATCGAACTGTCGGCTACTACAGCATTCAGAATTATTCAACCCTCAACATGGTTCTCCCAGTCCCAGGTAAGTATTTTCATGAAAGCCATTGTCCGAGCGGAAGCCAGAAGACCAGTTTTTCCAACAGTCTTTGCTTGGTCACCCCAAGGCGTTTTTAAATCAGTAGCCCCTAGTGTGACCCATAGGGTAGGTCAAAGGGCTGGCCCTTAACCAGGGCCGAGGTTTTGTACACCCTTGCGTAACTGGTATATTTATTGGACTAATGTCCGCAGTTGCCGAGCAACAAAACTGCGGCACTAAAAAATATCCGGTTGTGGATGGGGCCTTAACCTCCTAAATATTTTTCTCGCGATCGATGTGACTATTACGTGACAGAACCGTCGCAATTGTCGAATTTCAGCTCTTATTCGCGTTTTCCTGGAAATGTTTCAATGGGGAGAACGGGACAGCGTTTTGAAAATCCCTGGAAAAACATTTGGCCGGACGGTAGCATTTTTCCTTGAACGTTTCAGATACGTTTTAGTTAAACTGAATATGAAGTCTTCAATTTAATATATAGAAGTGAAATGATTTAACCAGAAGGTAACGTTTCTTTTTTATTTTAAGGGGTTGTGTATTTGTAAATTAGCGCACATTTTGCTTAATGATTGCCGAGAGACTTAAGAAAGCTTATTACATGGATTCTTTAGGAATAATTTCTTGTAAAATTAGATAGCCTGCCATGAAAATGAAAAATAAAACAAAGCAAGAGGCTTTTTTTAGAATTACATGATTTGCTTTTGGTAGATTGCCCATATAAATTATATGGCGTTTGTTTTCAATCTTCCCAGGAGATCCTTTGAAAATTTTCGTAGTCGACACGTCTCAGGAAACCATCATATTAGAAGTCGATCCTAGAGATACTATCGCAAATTTGAAGAAGAAAATTAAAGGCAAGAAAGGATCTCCAGCTGACGAGCAGCATCATCTTGTTCTTCGTGGCGAAAAATTGGAAGACTACCGAACTGTCAGCGACTACAGCATTCAGAATAATTCAGTCCTCAACATAGTTTTCTTAGTTGCGGGTAAGTATTTTCCTATGAAAGCCATTGTCCGAATTGCCTGCGTCGCAGACGTTCTAAACCTTCTGTATAGAGTGTCTGCGAACAAGAGCCATACTCTTGCTGCGAATCAGTGCACAATATCGTGTTCGAAGGTCAAGGTTTTCAAAACACTAAATGACCGGCAGTCTTCTATTCTCAGTCAATTTCACAGAATCGAAAAATCCCAGCTAATCTAAATTATCATATATCGATTAAGAAAAGTCAAGCGATCTCAAGTATAGCGTTTAGTTTACGCTGGGCTCAGAAGACGAAACCATGTTTTGTGACACTTAGAACTTTTTTCAGCTCGACTGCCGGTCAAGGTTTTCAAAACACTAAGTGACCATCAGTCCTATATTCTCCGTAAATTTCACAAATCGAAATAATCCATCTAAACCAAACTATCATATGTCAATTAGGAAAAGTCAAGCAAAATGCACTGAAAATATAGGACTGCCGGTCATTCAGTGTTTTGAAAACCTTTACCGGCAGTCGAGCTGAAAAAAGTTCTAAGTGTCACAAAATATGATTTCGTCTTCTGAGCTCAGCGTAAACCAAACGCTATGCATGAGATCTATAAAGCATTTCAGGATCGCTTGACTTTTCTTAATCGACATATGATAATTTAGATTATCTGGGATTTTTCGATTTTGTGAAATTTACTGAGAACATAAGACTGCCGGTCATTTCGTGTTTTGAAAACCTTGACCGGTTACCGACCATATAGCCACAGCGTTTGTTTTGACGCTAGAACTGTCGGCTAGATTGCAGATACGCGGCAGAGCATCTGCAGCGATTGGAATAAGACGCTGGAAAACCAGTTAGGCCAATCGTAAGGCGCAAAAGAAACCCGTGAGAAACCCGCCTATCGAAACGCTCACATATGTCCTTGCGACTCTGCAGGATATTAGAACGAGCTTTTGTGCACTAATTCGCAGACGGACTATACCACAGGCAGCCCAAGCGCACCATATGTGGGTCCGGGCTTCAGAGGTCATTTGGTCGGAATATACTAGAATTATTAGTGTATTATCTGATGCGAAATAAATGCAAAAATCTTAAAGATATGAAGTCTTCTTGTTTGTCTATCTGTACTGGTAGTCTTTAAGATAACGAAGGTCGATATTTCTTGCATTATTACATGTGATTCGGGCCCTTATTGTTCGAATTTTATCACATGTATTGGAATCTACCACGTTAAGAAAAAAAATCATAATCACGCGAATTATTGATTCAAAAAGCTCCCTTACCTTTAGTTCATAGCCACTCTGTGTCTTACGGCCGGTTTAAACGCCGTTTATTCGACTTTCTTTCCATCGAGTACTGAACACTATAAAAGAAGGAAAGGCTGGAGACCTTACAACCGACCTTCGCCGCACGAAGGCCAATAAATTCCAAACAAAGCGACTGACTGTTATCCTACCAGATTCGAATCTTGGAGCTTGGCAACCGCGTCAGATCGACAAAACGTCACTCTCACGGGGGAAGGTCGTTACTTTTGCCCTATCGCAAACCGACACCGTCCATAGGGCAAAAGTAACGACCCTCCCCCGCGAGAGTGACGATTTGTCGATCTGACACGGTCGCCAGGCTCCAAGATTCGAATCTCGTAGGATAACAGTCAGATTACGCATCGTGGCGAAGCGAAGCTGACCAGAATCGATGCGAAATGCAGCGCTCCTCGGGCTCATGCATATGCAGCCGAATTTAGATAAACTGCCGCTCGTCGAACGGGTAGATATACACTCTTCGGTCTGGCTGGTGGCAATTTTAGGGAGGTCGGTCGCTTTGTTTGGAATTTATTGGTCTTCGTGCGGCGAAGGTCGGTTGGAAGGTCTCCAGCCTTCCCTTCGAAAGGGAGCTTTTTGAATCAATATTTCGCGTGATCATGATTTTTTTTTTTAGCGTCGTAGATTCGAATACATGTGATAAAATTCGAACAATAAGGGCCCGAATCACATGTAATAATGCAAGAAATAATATAGACCTTCGTTGTCTTAAAGGCTACTACTACAGATAGACAAACAAGAAGACTTCATATTTTTAAAGATTTTTGCCTTTATTTGGCATCAGATAATACACTAATAATTCTAGTATATTCTAAACAAATGACCTCTGAAGCCCGAACCCACACGTAGTGCGCTTGGGCTGCCTGTGACTATACAAATGGTTTGCCTGTGACTATACAAATAGAGTGCGTGGGCCGGCTGCAACGCAGGCTATTGTCCGAACGGAAGCCAGAAGACCAGTTTTCCCAACAGTCTTTGCTTGCTTAGGTCAACCGCAAGGCGTATTTAAATCAGTAATATTATAAACTGTCTGATTAAAATGAGGTCATTTTTCTAAATAATAAGGGTGTAATTAGGATAGCCCTAAGTGTGCCACATAGGGTAGGACGAAGGGCTGGCCCATGGACCTGGGCCAAGGTTTTGTACACACATGCGTTACTGGTATTTATATCGGATTAGTGTCCGCAGTTGCCTAGCAACAAAACTGCGACAAAACAAATTTGGCCCGGTAGCCTTTGCGGCCGTTTTAGTGGTCAAGAAATGAATTGGGCGATTAATTTCGACGAAGAAAAGTACTTTAAAGAGAAAATGGAAGCGATTTGGACCATTATTTTTTTAGCTTCAAAATATTTTTCCCTCTGACGGCTTCGCAGACGATGTGACGGCCATACCGATCTTATGCGATGTAATGTGTCAAAACCTTCGTCATTTTCCTAGAATTTATCTTTGAATTGCTGTTTTGGCTCCAGTTACTCCAAGCAGCGTATTGCAGTAGAATTTCTGCCTAAAAATGCTTTAAATACAATATTTGGATAAAAAAGTTCCGGCAAAAACGTTTGGAAGCTGGGTGGCATTATATTCTCCCTTGTACGTTTTAGTTCCTGCCTTAAAATTATGTCTGCCGTTTTACTTGTATATAAGCGTGAAATGAACAAACCAAAGAGCAACGTTCCGTTTTCTTTTAAAAGCGTAAAAAAGGGATTGTATTTATCACATTAGGGCACTTTTGCCTTATAAACGCCGAGCAGGCCTAAAAAACCTATTACATGCATTCTTTAACGTCACTTGTAAAACTGGATCTGTCATGAACATAAAATGCGAGACAAAACAAAAAGGTCTTTTGTCAATTAAGCTTACGTTTAATAGAGTAGTAATGCTTCAGCAAATTTAACCCCCTTTGGTGTCTAGCAAGGTCTAGCTAGGTCTAGTCTATGATGTCACCGATTGTTATAACCTGGGGAAAAAGTGGATTCCCTTTATTAATATAAGTGTCTTCCTGCATACTAATTTGAATTTCCTGCTTACTAATTAAGTGTCTTCCTCCATATATAATGAAGTGGATAGGTTTACTAATGAGCGTCACTCTACTACAATAGGAACAATAGGCCGGCCCAAACTTGCCCGGTAAGTAACTTGAGCCTGGTTTTCGGAACGTCTATTAAAAGGAAAATATGAGCGATCACCTAGCAACGCGAGAAACGGCTTCCTATATCTTATTTAGCGCTAAAACTCGTATATAATTACAAAACACACGCACATATACACAAATTGGAGCTGAAAACGCTCTATTTCAAGTTTGTCTGACTAGTACAGAACCGTTTTCTCCGTTCTATCTCGAGGACATGAAAAACTATTACAGTCTCAGCGTTTCACGCACGGTTAATCAGTTAATTATGCGAGTTCACAAGCCCAAAGTTGAATACAAATTAGCTCTACAGCTAGACCCAAGGGAGCAACCTTGACGTATTATTATAAAACAAATAACTTAACAAGGATCAATTAAAACACGCGACTCATAATTGCTAGCAATAAAAACACAAGAGAGATACCGTTTTAAAAAACTATTAAAAAACAATGACAAAAAGAGTCAAATACACAGCGATTTAAAAGGAATGGAAATTAATTAATCTTCATCTTCGTTCTCCTCTGTAGAAGGGGCATAAAAATTGGCTTCCAACGTCTTCGCGTTTTGTGTGTAACTGCTCCGCAATCTTGACATCGAAGAAACCCACTTTCATGTAATGTCTCCCCTCGGGAATCTGGTGATCGGATATGGGACAAATCTTGTAGTAATCGTGCCAAAAGCATTTAGGACATTTCATGATCAATATCCCGTACACATTAGAGTTCTCGCAGTGTTCACAGGGACGTTTAGAGTGAAAGGTGGTGGACGTTTCGGGGCTACTACTTTCTATTTCCTGACTGTCGTTTTCAGTGTCGTTGTCGCTCTCTTGGGTGTCTTCCGCTTCAACGCCATTCTCAGAAGCCACTTCGTTATCAGAAGCATTTTCTACATTTCGGTAGCCTTTTTCCTTTTCTATTAAATCACTTAACAACTTTTTGTTCTTGATAGAACCTTTATCGATTCCTAACTCTACAAGTCCATCTAGAAACGTATTCAGCGCACGAGGCTTGGTAAACTCATTGTTATGAGGGAGTAACACATACTCAACTAGCTCAGCGATGTTTGTGACGGGAATAGTGCGTTTATTTCGAAGTAATTGTCCGCTGGGGGTCCAGAAAAGAATATCTTTGGACGCGGCCATACTATGCAGCAAATCAGAAGCACGCTTTTCCGGCACTGCTCGGGAAAGATGACTCAAAACATCTTTTATTCTCGGTTCTTCTTTTATTCTTGGTTCTTCATCCTCGCTTTCATCACCAGAACTTTCGCTTTCTTCATGTTCACTCTCGTGTTCTTCTTCTTCAACCAAATCTATCTTTCTCTTCATTTTTGATGAGTACCCGTGACAGACTTAGGTTCGTATGATCAATCTAGCGATGCGTCACCTCTTTTATAGCATTAGAAATCCTAAGCTTGAAACAACAGAGGCCAATACATCTTCAATAAAACCACTACCCTCTTGTACAAGGACTCGCTTCTTTGTTTTGTAAGGGACATTTGGTCTGGCCAGGTTAAGTAAAGCATCCTTATGTGGCAGCAATATCCGCTTATTTTCTTCGGAGATAGGAATGTGTCCCATGAGTACATTGTATAAGACTTGGATTAGTGCATGTAGTTGTTGTGGAGTAGCTGTCTTTAAAAGAAACTGGCGCTGATAAGCAGGGCAATCAGCTAACAGCAGAAGAAAACCACGATTGTTGTTCACTACACGAGACATTGCTACAAAATAAACTAAAGATGGCAGTTGGCGGTCTTTTATGGAATCTCGTGGAGAAAAAAAAATGAAACGAGTGGGCGAAGGATAGAAAACAATAGAATGAGGAGGAGGAGAAAAAACAATAGAAATGAGGAGGAGGAGGAAAAACAATAGAAATGAGGAGGAGGAGAGAAAAACAATAGAAATGAGGAGGAGGAGGAGGAGGAGGAAAGAAGACAATAGAAATGTGGTGGTGGTGGTAGTGGTGGTTTTGGGGGAGGAAGACAATAGAATATTTGGGGCCTGAAAACCAATATAAATGCGCAACATTCTACCTCTTTCTCAGTCTACATTTTGCTCCTGAGGAGTTGACATGAGTTGGCTCTGTTCTGTCTGCGAAAAATCCTTTAGTAGAAAAGATAATACGCAAAGGCACGTGATGTCTAAACACCGCAATGCTGGTCTCACACCATTTCAAACAGTTCCAATATTTTCACAGAAATGTCAGCGGTTTCACTTCCAGCACCCTTTCACCTCCATGATTGCCGGAATGACCGGGTCCGGAAAAACGGCCTGGGTTCGATCGCTATTGCAACAAGCTTCAGAGACCATTTACCCTCCCCCGGAGAGGATCATTTGGTGTTATTCGCAATGGCAGCCTGCGTATACACAAATGTTAGTCGCCATGCCAAACATTGAATTCGTCAAGGGAATGCCTACGGCTTTGGAGCAGGATTCCTATTTTGATGAGCAAACGGAATTTGATCGTGTTTGATGATCAGATGATGAATGAATTGTAAACCTCTTTACTCGTGGTTCTCATCATCGCAATCTGAGCGTGATTTATATCGTGCAGAATCTATTTCATCAGGGGAAAGGTAGCCGCAGCATAAGCCTAAACAGCCATTATCTGGTGTTATTCAAGAATCCACGAGACAAATTGCAAATCCTGACTCTGGCGAAGCAAATGTATCCCGGGCAGATTGATTTCCTTTTAAATCAGTCCGAAGAGGCTGTAAAAAGACCTTTTGGTTATCTTCTGATTGATCTGAAAACTACTACCCAAGATAATTGTCGGTTGCGAACAAACGTCCTGCCCAGTGAAGAAGGCTTTAACCAAGCAGGGTTTCAAGAAAATATTCCTCAAGAGCTTCTAAAATATCTGATGCTGCAAACTCTTTCGCCTGTCCCGCTTCTTCCAGCTATGCAAGAAATACAAGACAACATGGATGACGTGCCTTCTCGAAACGATCTTCGGGACTATGAAAAAGTTAAACGATACCTTCAGTTGCAAAACAGATACCTGGCTTTTAAAGAACAATTAAATACAAGAACACGACCGGAAGAAATAATTAGCACTATTCCGGACTTAACATCAAGGACACAAGATTCTTCGACAGCAACAACAGCATTCTCAACTCCCCTCAACCCCTTTAATGTAAGACCTGAATTAACAGAAGCGGCTATCTCTCAAAAACCTGACAGAGAAAGCCTCACCCCTCCACCACCGTTAAATCCTGCTTTCCTGACCCCTCCTCCCACAGTAGAAACCCCATCACAACATGGCCCGAAGCGCAAAAGGCGTCGGATTCAATTTCTAAATTATTTGGATGATCATAAATCTCATGGCAAAAAGCTGAAGAAACGTCGGCGTAAGAAATTCAAACCTTACAAGTACTCCACGGGCGAAGAAGAAGGAATTAATTAATTTTCATTCCTTACAAATCGCTGTGTATTTGACTCTTTTTGTCATTGTTTTTGAATAAAGTTTTTTAAAACGGTATCTCTCTTGTGTTTTTATTGCTAGCAATTATGAGTCGCGTGTTTTAATTGATCCTTGTTAAGTGATTTGTTTTATAATAACACGTCAAGGTTGCTCCCTTGGGTCTAGCTGTAGAGCTAATTTGTATTCAACTTTGGGCTCGTGAACTCGCATAATTAACTGATTAACCGTGCGTGAAACGCTGAGACTGTAATAGTTTTTCATGTCCTCGAGATAGAACGGAGAAAACGGTTCTGTACTAGTCAGACAAACTTGAAATAGAGCGTTTTCAGCTCCAATTTGTGTATATGTGCGTGTGTTTTGTAATTATATACGAGTTTTAGCGCTAAATAAGATATAGGAAGCCGTTTCTCGCGTTGCTAGGTGATCGCTCATATTTTCCTTTTAATAGACGGTCCGAAAACCAGGCTCAAGTTACTTACCGGGCAAGTTTGGGCCGGCCTATTGTTCCTATTGCAGTAGAGTGACGCTCATTAGTAAACCTATCCACTTCATTATATATGGAGGAAGACACTTAATTAGTATGCATTAGTATGCATAAAGGGAATCCACTTTTTCCCCAGGTTATAACAATCGGTGACATCATAGACTAGACCTAGCTAGACCTTGCTAGACACCAAAGGGGGTTAAATTTGCTGAAGCATTACTACTCAATAGATTCCCTATAAATCTTATGGCGTTTGTTTTTAATTTACATAGGTGCTACCTTGGAAATTCTCGTAGACGTCATGTCCCAGGAACCCTTCATATTAAAAGTTGATCCTAGTGATACTATCTCAAATTTGAAGAAGAAAATTGAAAAGGTTAAAGGATTTTCAGCTGATGAGCAACGTGTTGTCTTTCAAGGTAAAAAACTGGAAGACCGAACTGTTAGCGACTACAACATTCAGAATAATTCAACCTTGAACGTGGTTCTCCCGATCCTGGAAGTGACTGTTCTAACGGGAGCCGGGAGACGAGCTACCCTAAGGGTGAAACCCATTGATTCCATTTTAGAGCTCAAGCGGAAAGTACAAGGCATTACAAGAGTTCCTCCATACAAACAAAGTCTTAGCTTTGCTGGCGTAGAACTAGAAAATGCGCGCACTATTTCTGACTACAATATGCGGAATAAGTCAGCTATCAATTTTGTTGAGAAAATAGAAGTGTATGTGGTTACCCAGCAGTGTACTCAAGAAAGGATGACCTTGCAACTGAGGCCGCGGGATACTGTCAGAAGTGTGAAAGGCGAAATTCATGTCAAAACAAATATTTCACCGTGCCAGCAAGTTTTGGAATTTGGCGGTAAGCAAATTCATGACTTCCTTCCTTTGAATTACGCCAACATTAACGACGAATCGACGCTCTTCTTGAATGTAGCGGTACGAATCTTTGTGAGAATGTCAACTGGATCAGAAGTGATGTTAAATCTCTTTACAAGTAACACTATCATGAATGTAAAAGAAATAATTCAATTCAGCGAAGATATCCCATGCGACATGCAATATCTCTTTTTTCATGATGAGCCTCTCATAGATAGCCACACTTTGAGCGACTGCAACATGCAAAACGAATCAATTTTAATTTTAAAAAGACGAATTTCTATCAAGATAGCCTGCGATAAAAAAAAGTTCAGTGTCGATGCCTATCTAGACGACAACGTCAGAAGTGTAAGGGACAGTGTTGCAGGCAGACTACTGATGCCACTTGATCAGTTATGTCTCGTGTATAATGGCGAAAAACTCAGCAACATGCGTACTTTGGGGAGCTACAACCTTCGGAATGGAGCAGTCCTAAATGTAGATCAATCTGGAGGTACGTCATTTTGCTTGTTTTACGTCATACTCCAGTCTTTTCTTCCAATTACGCAAGGGGAACCTTAGTTTGCATAACACTATTTTAAACCAACATGTACTTGTATGCATGACACCTCACTCAGTTTTATAGGAGAAAAGATGTACCGTAAAATTTCGAAAACAACCCTCTCCATGTATAAGCCCCTCCTAATACAAGCCCCCGGGGGCTTGTACTTGGAAATTGCCCTCAAATACAAAATAAAACAAAGCAAAAACGGTACAATAACATTTTAATGTTTGTATAGCCAAAGAACTATTAGGTGTGACAAATGATTTCAGTCAAAAAGTGTCACAGTATATTGCTGTTTGCGTAGTTGACTCCTCACTCCTTGGCTTGGATTTCCTCGTCTAAATAGACAGAGTACTTGCATGGCGGCGAGTTTCAGTAAAAAATTTCTGCAAATTACTGACATAAATTTCCTTCCAACTATAAGCTAGTCCAATCGATTTTGAGACGCAAATTTCCCTCCAAGTATAAGCCTAGCCGATTTCGAAACGCAAACTTCCCTCCGTATATAAGCCCCTCCAGATATAAGCCCCTCCAAGAATAAGTCCCTCAAAAAAGATCTTTGAAAAATATATTCTCCGGGACTTATTCTCGGAATTTAACGGTATGTTAATTTGAACGAGAGCTGAAGGTATAACTACAAGGTTTACGCGTTCTAAAACAATGATTCGAATGGGTGTGCAACAATGGCCTTAATCGGTCACAATTAACTAAGGCGCCGTCCATACGTATCCGTTTTTGTTTGAAAACGGATAGTTTTTATCCGTTTTCAAAAAATAGTCCACCACCACACGTTGCATTTTTAAATCGTTTTTGCCATTCCACACGAAAAAGCAATAGTGACTGAAAGCGGCATCATCTTTGATGGGAGCATGCGCATTTACAAGCCCGCGAGATGGTGGCGTCTATTATGTGCAGGGTAGACTGGATCCAAGACCGTAATCTTGATCTCCGATTCGATGATAGGTCCCAAAGACCATACACCGCTTCGTCAACCCAAATTTCGACACAAGATGTTCTCAATGGTATTGTATTTCCTGTTGGACCTATCTCTCATTATGATTTCCAGAGACGTTGTCTTGAACCAGTAGATTTTTTGATAGTCTGTTGTCGAAAACGTCATGAACAAACATTCAGCTCAACTCTCATTAAAGATTAACTTACAGCGTTGATCATGTAGTTAATGAACCTTTTGAGTTTGTAACTTGTCTTTCTTTGTATATTCCAGTAGGTAATCTTGATCTCCGAATTGATGCTGAGGCCCAAAGACCACGAGAGGCTTCCTCAAACCAACCTTCTACACAAGAGGTTTTAGATCGTATTGCAGTTAAATACTTAGATAAAGTAGACCCATCAAACCCGGAGGAGTGGAATGAGTTCCTTAGATATATGACAGAAGTTCGCAAAGTACTTGTTCTTGATGCCAAATCTGGAAGCTTGATTTTCACGTTGGAATGTGGATCACTGCAGATTCTTGATGACCTTTGGAAAGACTATGGAAGGGGCCATCTAGGTCGAGTAGCCCAAGAGTATCTTGTGACAAAAGACATCCTGAAAGAGTTTGGTCTCTCTTCATTTCAACTTGCGTCGAATATCAAGGAAGAGGACTACAGTGTTTGTCGACGGCAATTAGCAACCAATGAAGGTGGGTATGGCAAAAATTTATTTACCTCCAGCAATTTAGACTTAGTTTAGGAAATCCTTCGAAAGGAAGTCGTCTCTGGACCCAGATTTCGTTTGATATCTGAGGTCCCATGGCTGGGGGTAAAGGAGACGGAGTCCCAGCTGAGAAGATAATTGGAAGCAATTATGAATTAGCAAATTAAGCGAACAATGCTTAAACAACAAGTAAAACAACAACAACAGAGAAAGGAATAAAAAAAGAGGCACATTTTTACTTGAATTATCCCCCACCGACAGCTAAAACATGTATGATCCTGCAGGGCTTCCTTTAAGCCAGGAATTGATTAGGCTTATGATTGGGCTTTTTTTTTTTCGTGTGATTCCAAAGCTTTTCAGAAGTCGATCTTTTTGTTTTCACTTTAAAAGTCAAATCGAGCAAGTCAGTTTAAAGGAGCAGTAGTGATATGCACGTCGCATTTAATAAATTACGAAACACACTCGAATATCGCAAAGGCAAACTCATGAAACGTTTGTCTTTATCGCCAGCGCAAGAAGAGGTGACAGTAAGCCTTCGTTTCCTGTTGTAGGAAATTTTGTAGAGAAAGCGTAAATTTCACACGAGTTCACCTGTTAAACTTTTGACCAATCTGAAACTTGACTAAAAGTTTGTAGTTGTGTGAAACGTAACCTGTCGTTTTAATTGATAAACTGTTAATTAATGCTGCACAATAAGCGTTAAGTTCAAACAGGCTTGATCATTTGCTCAATGTAGTATTGTTTTGCGTTGTATTGCTATTTATTCATCAAAAGCGTGGTAAGCCATGTTATTTCCACCAAAAAAAACGAGTATATAGCGCAGGGTAGCTTTAAGTGTACCATCCTCCGTCTTTACGACCAAAAGGTTCCAGTTAATAGTTATTAATACCAATTTGTTAGTCATGTTGCCCCACCCTGGCGCTCCTGGGCGGAATGTGGTCTAAAAGGACAGTCTTGTAAGCAAACAGTTTGTAAGGCCGGCTTGGCAAAACCCCATTAAATGTCTTTCCTTGTAAAAACAATCCTCGCACACGGCCACTTCTCAGCGGTTGCGGACACATCCAACCTCGTCCCCAGGGTTTTCCTTAAGGTCCAGGGAACGAGGTTTCCGCTTCACCAACTTTGTTTACCATTTACATGGGCAAACCGATCGGTCCACAGTTTGGGCAAATGGTAGGGGAAATTAAGGACTGCTACATTTCGTCCCTAAATCGCATTTGCCATTTGTACAGTCAGTTCCATATATAAAAAAACGGCCGCAAAGGCCTCAAACTGGTATCAAAGAAGGCTTTGAAGAAATAGAATACGAATTTGCATTTGGGGTATTCCGTCCGGAAAACAGGAGTACCTCTTCAGATATCTTATAGTTGTTTCAATCTTTCAAAAAACGTGTATGAAAGGTCATGGAATTGTTAAAAAGAAGGATTTGTTTAGTTTGAATCGAGGCGCTCTTGTTAGCGGTTTTGTAAACCTTTTGGTCTACTTAAACAAATAAGCGAATAATTTGAAAACCGCTCGATACATTTGTCTAAAAATTTGAAATTCCGGAGATTAACCGTCGATTTGTATGATTATTTTATCTCCTCGCTAATTTTTTGTTGGAAATTTTGTGTTTCAGGTGAGAGCCTCCCATTATTCAGGGGTATTGTCTCCAAGTTTCATATTTTCGTGGACAACAATAGCTGTCATTTCTGCATATTTCAAATGCATTGTTAGTTACAGCTGTTCGCGCAAGTAGTATAGGGCGCACCGAATTAATCCCTTTTTGTGGGTTTAATAAACTTTTGGAGTGGCATAAATTAACGCCTATGACGTCATAGCCTTTGGTCTTTATCTCGTGAATAAAAATTAAAGTTTAGTCGCCAAAGTGGCGACCAGATTTCTCTATGATTTAGATTTAAATTAAAAGAGTAAAGTTAAAACAAACATTTCATCTTATCCTGCTTTGCTTTCATCATAAAAAATGTGCCAAATCGCATAAGCAAAGCCAGTTTACCTCCATATTTATACCGACTTCTGTTCACGATATTTTCAGATCTGATGGATCGCGCCATACTATGCAGGGATTCTGATATGTCGCTTAAAAAAGTCAAATTTCGCGGAATTTTTAGGGGCAAATTCGCGGAAAAATCGACCAATTTCGCAGGAATTTTCGGGGCAAACTTAGCCGAAAATCAACTGGTCAAAAAAGGCCGATTTTGTGCTTATTTTCAGGGAAAACTTCGTTAGACATCGATCGGTTTTGCGCTGACCAGACCAGCGTTTTTAATGTTTTTCCAACAGAGGTCATCATTTGCTCTTTCAACAGCAAGTGTACGGCAAGTAAATAGCCCCAATAGCTGAGAAAAGTTTCAAATATGTTGTACAGACATGTAAGATTTCTAAGATAAGATTTAAAATAAGATTTCTACCGAATTTCGCGGTATTTTGCGTGTTTTTGTGAATTTCGCGGCTCTGCGACGGGGCGAAATAGCAGAAGCCCTGACTATGGGCTGCGTCATTTACATTATACTAAATGGCGACCAAAAATTTGCATCTGACGACTATATTTCTCCAGTTGGTCGCCACAAGGCGACCAGAGGATTTTTTTAATTTCGAGCCCTGCACTGTATTTCAGTAGCATACAACATTGTACATCTCAGCGACAGACAAATTACAGACTTACACTGTTTTAAAACGAAACGAGCTACAGCGCAATGCTGTATGTAAAGAGTTGTAACGTAAAGCACAATTCTGAAAGAGTCTTTCGCTATTTTGCAGGTAAAAAGTAACTAGCGTACAAAATGTAATAGGAAAGATCTTCATGCTGCCTATAGTTATCAAGAGGCGGTCTCAGTAAAAACCGCCCAGTCAATTTCGCGTGAAAAATAATTTTGCCTGAAACTCTGGCAAGTGAAAGGCTTTAACGAGACTATAACTAAAATAGGTTTGCTTTGATTCACAATAATGTTCTGGCCGCGCTGGGGGCGCCGAGTATTTTGTCCCGCCACGGCCAGTTTGCACGTCTTGAAAATTGAAAATGTGGCATTTTTTGCGGCGCAGTAAAATGTTTGATTTGCACCATCTGCCGGTGAATTTTATACCTACTTATAGGTAAAGATCTCTAGTTTTTCCAAAAAGTAATAGTTATTCGCTAAATTAAGCTGAAAAGACAAAAATCAAGCAAAATATGACCCCAACTAATTGCCTTGGAGCGAAAGGCCAAAAATGACCCTGGGTTAAACGCTTATTTCTGACATTTGGGACGTAGTTGAAAGCTCTAGACCAAATAGACAAAAAAATAGATCACCTATTATTAAGAATATACAAAAACCCATGTACGATTTCAGTATTTTAAAAGTTAATGCGATATTTTCAAATTCAGCGTAACGGGTCTATCTCAAGCAGATTTTGTCAAAAGTACGGCTTACCTAATTCATTACTGGCCCTGACGCACAACTGGAACCGTATTCCAATCCCACAGATGCCAGAATCCATAAAATTCCAGCAAATGTGCTTTTGAAACTGCTGATATATATGCGGCCATATTTGAATCCCATGCTAACAACCCAAAGCTCCAAACAGATAAAACTGTATCACGTTTCGAGCTAAATAACTCGGTAAAACAACTTTCTAGAAGTGAGAGTTTGCTCGAGAATCAGAAATTCAACTAAACAGTTTCATTTCGGGTCAGAGATTGAGATTTAAGAACTACAACCTCGAATAACTCTTCTATTCAACTGGCTCTGCAAGGTCAAAAGCAGGTTGACATCTAAACCGGAAACGTGGAAAACCGGATACACGGAAATCCGGAAATGCGGAAGTCCGGATCATCCGGAAACCGGGAAATCTGAAATCAATGAGAAACCAAATCCAAATCCAAAAACTAGGGGCAGCTGCATTCGTTAAGGGCTTCTTTTCGAAGCTAAGACACGTAAAAGATAAAACCTTCCAAACAAGCAAACCGTAGCTGTTTGATTTTCACTAAACTGAAACGGAGTTCCACGATAGATTGCATTCGGCAAATAGGCTCCATAAGAAACAGTAAATATAACTGACCGGCTACCAACATGCTATGTGCGCTAACATGTCACACTTGTGACTAATACTTCACCGGCGTTGGCTATATATCGAAACTGAGGGTGGCGAGATCCGCTAGGAAACCGAGCCTGCTTGGTTGTCTGGGCTTAGACAGTCAGTATAGAGGCCCATGAAAATCGCTTGAACAACCGATAAATGGTCCCTGCCGGTGAGAAAGTTTAAAAGAAACCGATCATTACTTAGAGGGGGGAGGGGAAGGCTTGAGTAAATGCAGGAAAGCCTTCTTCAAATTTTACTGACCCTCCTCCTGACCCTTATCCCGTCCCGGCACTTACTCAAACATTGAGCCATATTTCAATCTCTAAGATGCTACATTGTAGATTCCAAATTTTTTCCTCGGTATAGTTCTGGCACTAAGGAAGGTTAATTTTGTTAGCCGAAATATTGGCCTATAATAAATTATCCCTTTGCCGTAATACCAGCCCTGCATTCAGTTTTGTTTTATTTCACTCTTTAAGTGACGTCTTGCTACAGCCTCTCTTTGGTTAGAGATCCGGCAAGGGGAACCAGTCAGTTCAGTATTTACGCGTTACGTGGACCTCTGCATTCAAACAGTTTTTCCATAAAATTCTAGCAAATGCGCATTAGAAACTGCTGGCGTACGTGCGGGGTCGAAGCTCAAACGAATGAAACTATTTCACGTTTCAAGTTAAATAGCTCGGTAAGAAATAAAATTAAACAGCTGTCCGGAGGTTAGAGTTTGTTCCAGAATCAAAGCATCAACTATTAAGCAGAAAACCCAAATTTATGGACCAATTTAGGAATAATTTTCCGACCATTTTTCGGTGATTTTTGGCTTATCCTATGACAAGGTGTGTAGCGCCTTTCTTGGCCATTTGGAATCAGGTTTTGGTCTACAAGAGGGGTTGCCCTTAGGACTTGCGCCTATTGTCACCGCTGAATGCAAACATTGGTCTTAAGGTATAAACAAACATACAGAATTGATTCCCTTCTTA